GACAGTCCATTTAACCAAGGGTGTGATTGACAATTTATCCAACCAAGGGAGTGGGTGGTAGTCTGTCCAATCACATGTGTGAGTGATCATACATCCAGCCAAGGGTAAGAGGGACAGTCCAGCCAACCAAGGGTAAGAGGGACAGTCCATCCAGCCAAGGGTAAGAGGGACAGTCCATCCAGCCAAGGGTAAGAGGGACAGTCCATCCAGCCAAGGGTAAGAGGGACAGTCCATTCAACCAAGGGTAAGAGGGACAGTTCTGTCCAACCAAGGATAAGACTGGTCCATGCAGCCAGGACTTGAAGGCAGTCCATTCAACCAAGGGTGTGATTGACATTCTGTCCAACCAAGGATATGGACTGACAGTCCATGCATCCAGGACTTGAGAGGACAGTCCATTCAACCAAGGGTGTGAGGGACAAGTTTATCCAACCAAGGGAGTGGATCCAGCCAAGGGTGAGAGGGTCAGTCCAACCAGCCAAGGGTGAGAGTGATTGTACATCCAGCCAAGGGTGAGAGGGACAGTCCATCCAGCCAAGGGTGAGAGGGACAGTCCATCCAGCCAAGGGTGAGAGGGACAGTCCATCCAGCCAAGGGTGAGAGGGAAAGTCCATTCAACCAAGGATAAGACTGACAGTCCGTGCAGCCAGGACTTGAGAGGCAGTCCATTCAACCAAGGGTGTGATTGACAATTTATCCAACCAAGGGAGGAGTGGGTGGTAGTCTGTCCAACCCTATGTGCGAGTGATTGTACATCCAACCAAGGGTAAGAGGGACAGTCCATCCAACCAAGGGTAAGAGGGACAGTCCATCCAACCAAGGATAACACTGACAGTCCATCCAACCAAGGATAAACACTGACAGTCCATCCAACCAAGGATAACACTGACAGTCCATCCAACCCAGGATAACACTGACAGTCCATCCAACCCAGGATAACACTGACAGTCCATCCAACCCAGGATAACACTGACAGTCCATCCAACCCAGGGATCCATCCAACCAAGGATAACACTGACAGTCCATCCAACCCAAGGATAACACTGACAGTCCATCCAACCCAGGATAACACTGACAGTCCATCCAACCCAGGATAACACTGACAGTCCATCCAACCCAGGATAACACTGACAGTCCATCCAACCCAGGATAACACTGACAGTCCATCCAACCCAGGATAACACTGACAGTCCATCCAACCCAGAATAACATTGATAGTCCATCCAACCAAGGATAACACTGACAGTCCATGCAGCCAGGACTTGAGAGACAGTCCATTCAACCAAGGGAGTGGGTGGTAGTCTGTCCAACCACATGTTCAAGTGACTGTACATTCAACCAAGGGTAAGACTAACAATCCTTGCAGCCAGGATTTGAGAGACAGTCCATTCAACCAAGGGTGTGATTGACAATTTATCCAACCAAGGTTGTGGGTGGTAGTCTGTCCAACCACGTGCGTGCCACTCATGTGCATTGCTTTAGGGTTTGTTTACAATTGTGGTGCACTCTGAAGAGCAATCTGTAGCGGATCACTCTCCAGAGGGCATTTGACAAGCAGTGAAAAGACAACAGGGGAGACATACTAAAACTGGAACACTCAGAATCTGGTGCAGCTGTGCATGGTAGCCAATTAGCTTCTAACTTCAGCTTGACTATAAGACCTGGAAGCTGATCTAGATGTTAAATTTTGCACGCTCCAATTTTAGTACATTTTCCCCATTATGTCGCCTCCTCACCACATGTTTTAACCCCTAAAAACCTGCACCACCGCGCTTCAACCGCCTGCATTGTGGTGCGGCCCCATTTAAGCGAATGCCCTCTGAAGAGCATTTTGCAGTGGATCTCTCTATAGAAGGCATTTGACGGGCAGTGAGGAAGCATTATGCCGCCTCCTCACCACCTGTTTTAATTCCTAAAAACCTGCAACACTGCACTTGCAGTGCGGTCCCAGTCAGTGGAACGGGTTGCGTTCAGCAGGCAGTATTGCCCACCAAGCATGGCAGAGGGGATACATTTTGTGTACATAAGTACACCCCCATCTGCTGCCTTTGAAGTTCAAGAGGGAGCAGTTGGGGGGGCAGTAAAAACACAGCTCAACAATGCAGTTTCCCCTGTCCCCCGCCAACCACAAGTGCATAGGAGTACACTGCCCATGTGATATAGTGTTATTATTCTAGTACTTGCTTCTAACACATTCCCTGGGATAGGGGTGACAACAATCATTGTATATATGAAGAAGTTAGGACATGACTACAAAACATCTCCCCCTCTCCTCTTCCCCATAATATAGGGGAAGGTGTTTTGTAGTCCACACAGAGAACTGGGAACAATGCTAAGTGAAAAGAGTGCAGCCCAGGAGAGTACAGGATATTATCAGTTCACAGGATTCTGACTTTTTTTTCTTTTGCCTTTATTAGCAGAATTCAGGTTCAATTGTATATTTAACAAACCAAATTGGAGCAAATAAGAGAAAATCATTGGTAGGGTTTACATATGCTTCAGCCAGAGAAAGCAGACAAGGACAGGCTGCAGATATTTCTTACTACGAGATTAAAGAGTATCTCCACTTCTGTTGGGAATAAACACACCCCTCTGGGTAACCTAAGTACATTGCAAGGATTATAACATTTGCTATAGATTGCTACCTTTTGTTTTACTGAAGAAATAGCTGTTTGTTTGTCTGTGTCCGTGTGCAGAGTGAATCTGTATGGGGGTGGTTTTATAATTATTAATCAGCTGCTGCACCTACAGGGCTCTAATGAGGAGAGTGGCAGGGTCTGCATCCCTTTCGATGTGATTTCCCTTTGGAAGTATCTCACCAAAAATGACATTTTTGTTGCAGGGGATGCCCAAAGTCTGACATCTATCTTAGTACAGACCAGGGGCAGATTGCCCATTTGGCAATTCGGGCACTGCCCAAGGCCCCGGGGTCAGTAGTGGGCCCCATGAGATGCCTTTTTCATAGGCTTTTTTAAGTTTGGGCAAGGACTCAGTGGCCCATGAACCCCTATTGCCCGGAGGCCCCATGAGTTGTCAGTCCGCCCCTGGTACAGACATTCCTGGGAAAATCAGCGATCCAATCACACAAGCATGAATTGACATTTTCAGGGGGCGTTCTGTACATCAGGGCTCTATTATTATTATTATTATACAGTATTTATATAGCGCCAAAAGGTTTGCTCAGCACTGTACATTATAGTGGGGGACAGAACATGAGACAATACAGTAACAATACAATACACGAGGGGTTCGAGGGCCCTGCTCCTTGGAGCTTACAATCTAGGAGGGAGGGGATAGTGGTACAGGAGGAAGTGGCTGTGGGGGATGGGAGTGGTAGGAGGAGTGGAGGAGATCGGCTGTTAGGTGAGGGTGGGGTAGGCTTCCCTGAAGAGATGGGTTTTCAGTGTGTGCCTAAAAGTGAGGAGGGTAGATGACAGTCTGATGGATTAGGGTAGTGAGTTCCAGAGGATGGGGGAAGACCTGGAGAAGTCCTGGAGTCGGGCGTGGGAGGAGGAGACCAGGGAACTGGAGAGTAGGAGGTCTTGTGAGGAGCAAAGGGTACGTTTTGAGTGGTATTTGGGTATCAGCTCGGTGATGTAGTTTGGGGCAGCGTTATGAATGGCTTTGTATGTCAGCGTTAGTAGTTTGAATTTTATGCGTTGGGCAATCGGAAGCCAGTGGAGGGAATGACAGAGGGGGGTGGCGGATATGGAGCGGTTGGTGAGGTGGATGAGTCTGGCCACTGAGTTCAGGTTAGACTGAAGCGGGGATAGTCTGTGATGAGGTAGGCCGGTGAGGAGGGAGTTGCAGTAGTCCAGACGTGAGATAAGGGAGTGAATGAGTTGTTTAGTAGTGTCTGGGGTTAGGAACAGGGGCGGACTGACCATTTGGAAACTCGGGCACTGCCCGAGGGCCCGGGGTCAGTAGGGGGCCCCATGAGATGCCCCTGATACCTTTTTCATAGGCTTTTTTGAGTTTGAGCAAGGACACAGGGGCCCCATGATCCCCTATTGCCCGGGGGCCCCATGAGTTGTCAGTCCGCCCCTGGTTAGGAACGAACGTATTTTGGAGATGTTGCGGAGGTGGAGCCTAATGAGGAAAGTGACAGGGTCTGCATCTCTTTCAATGTAATTTCCCTTTGGGTGTATCTCACCAAAAATGACATTTTTGTTGCAGGGGATTCCTAAAATCTGACTTGTATCTTAGTGCAGACTTCTGGCAAAATCAGCGAGCCAATCACACAAGCAGGAATCGAGCTTTTCAGGGGGCGTTCTGTACACCATCTATGTACAGAACGCCTCCAGGCTTCCATATTGCATTGAATTTTACAGAAAATTACAGAGCTGCAGATTGAAAAGGAAAGATCTTTTTTTTTGTTAGAGTTTATTAAAAATGATCAGTACCAGCAAGACAAGGTACACATACCCCAAATCAAGCATTCAGTAAACGGCAAAATATACGCCATAGATAAATGCTCTTAAGAATCAAGCAATCATTAATCCAAGGAAAGATGTTTTTTTATACCATTCAATTACAATATGACTTGAGTTGCAATTGTGTATGCTATAATAAAAAAATGATTTGCTATTTTTTTCCCCAAGAAAGTGGAGTTACCCTTTAAAAAACCATGTGACTAGGTGGCCCTAACATACCTGTTATTAGGCGGTATAGATATATGTTGTTGTATCCCTTGATGACAAAAAGGCAGTTGGGTATTCCATAAACAGAAATTCTCTTTGATTATATAGTTGGTAAACACAGCAGCAATACATGAAAGACTCGTGTGCTTGTATGTATAAGATGGGGTTTTCTGGTACCATGAGCTCTTGTGGAGGTGACATCGCTAGAATCCCGCCGCACTCTGAACTCCCATAGTCAGCAGGTAAACTGTTGAGACCCTGTTAGCTGAAGCATGTAGGACAATGTTTGTTGGACAGTCGTGTCAGGCCTGATGTGACAGTTCACAAGCAAATAACTGTTTCTCTTGTCTGTTTTGAAAGGTTGTCCATGAAATCAGAAATTACCCTTACCCGCAGCTTCATCTCCTTGCCCTCCAGGGTCTCAGTCCAGCGCGGCACACGTCTGCTGTGACGGAAAGCTATGAAGTGAGTAGATTCTTGCTTCATTTTAATGTCTGCCATTTAGAAAAAAAACCTAGCATTGACCATTCATTCATTTAACCAGAACGCTGATAGTTCCCTCAAATGAATACCCGGTAGTTCACCCCACATCAACATGTATGAGATGTATTCCATCCCTTCTAAACAAGAGGCCACTCAAGTATGTCCATTAGACTACATTCAACCAAGTACGTCTTTCATAATCCATCCAACTGAATGTGTTTGTCACAGTCCATCCACCCAGGTATTAGAGTCATAGTCATCTAACCAATTATATTGACAGCCAGTCCAACTTGAAAGTACTTCAAAAGCAGTCTATGACTTAGTGACATAGTGCCTGGTGACAGTCGTCTCAGTAAAGCCTATGACTGTCATTCCAGCTATCCAGCTCATTAGAGCAAGCATGTCATGTGCAGTCCATTCAGTTAAGCATATAAATTACAGTTCAGGCAACCAAGAGTTGACTGTTAGTCCGTCTAGTGAAGTATGTACATACTGTACGATGTAAGTACATCCACGACACATAGTTACATAGGTTAGAAAAGATACAGGTCAACCATAAAAAAGGATCAAGTGTATAAGTAACAGTCCATCTAATCCCATGTGTGAGTGAGTTCATCCAGCCAAGGGTGGCACTGTCTATCCAACCAGAGGTGAGAGTCATAGATCATCTAAACAAAAGTGTGAGTGTCAGTCTGTCCAACCACATGTGTGAGTGACTATCCATTCATCCAAGGGTGTGAGTGACACTCCATCCAACCAAGGGTAAGAGTGACAGCCTATGCAACCAAGGACTTGAGTGACAATCCATTCAACCATGGATGTGATTGACAATTTATCCAACCAAGGGAATGGTTGGCAGTCTGTTCAACCACATGTGCTAGTGACTGTACATCCAACCAAGGGTAAGACTGATAGTCCATGCAGCCAGGACCTCAAAGACAGTCCATTCAACGAAGGGTGTGATTGACAATTTATCCAACCAAGGAAGTGGGTGGTAGTCTGTCCAACCACATGTGTGAGTGACTGTACATTCAACAAAGGGTAAGAGGGACAGTTCATCCAACCAAGAGTAAGAGGGACAGTCCATCCAACCAAGGGTAAGACTGACAGTCCATGCAGCAGGACTTGAGAGACAGTCCATTCAACCAAGGGTGTGATTGACAATTTATCCAACCAAGGGAATGGGTGGAAGTCTGTCCAACCACGTGTAAGTGATTTTACATACAACTAAGGGTAAGAGGGACAGTCCCATTGAGGGAACCAAGGGTAAGAGGGACAGTCCAACCCAATCCAAGGGGGTCCAACCAGAGGGGGACAGTCCATCCAACCAAGGGTAAGAGGGAAGAGCCCATCCAACCAAGGGTAAGAGGGACAGCCCATGCAGCCAGGACTTGAGAGACAGTCCATTTAACCAAGGGTGTGATTGACAATTCTTCCAACCAAGGTGGTAGTTTGTCCAGCCACATACGTGAGAGACTGTACATCCAACCAAGGGTGTGATTCACAGTCCCATCCAACCAAGGGTGAGAGGGGCAGTCCATCAAAGAAAGGGTAAGAGTGACTATCCATCCAACCAAGGACGTGAGTGGCAGTCCATACAACCAAGGATAAGACTGAAGGTCCATCCAACCAAGTGTAGGAGTGAAGGTGCAACGAACTAGTAATGAGAGTGACAATCCATCCAACCAAGGCACTTCAACCATCTAAGCAAGTGATTGAGTGACAATCCAATAAAACCCCCATTTGAATCTCAGTCCGTCTATTCACATGCAACAGTTTTTCTGAATGGGGTAACTGTTGCAAATCCAGATGAACAGTCAACCAGTTATCCATTTCTGGATTGTTCTGCTCAGGACAGCAAGAACGTTTTCACATACCACAGCTCTCACAGTTTACCAGAGCTAATCTGACAATTTCCCACCTATGTAATTAAATAATAAATCCTCAGGGCAGGTACACTGTACAGTGAATCTAATATTGTATCTGGTGGTGTTATATGGCTCGTAGGACTGCCTTCTCTTATTGGGAACTTGGGGTCAGTCCGTGTTATTTAATCATTTTGATTTTCAGTATAACGGTAAAGCTGGTGTGATATTTGTGTGGGAAGAAAATTTGTTTCTCTGCTGACAATAGCGTGGATGAAAGCACACAAAGTGTTGTAGAGTGTGATGAGTGGGCTGTTTTTGAAAGAGAAAAAAAATACTTCTCTACTCACTATACAATAATATATCTGGAGACTATAACTATGTGTGACAGGGCCCCATAGCATCACCATTGAGGGCCCCTGTGCCTCTCAGTCTCTAATAATTCCTCTGGAGATGCTGAATACTAATTGATTTTATATGTATCTATTGTGTAGATGAATTTCATTATTTTTTTTTCTTTATGTTTGTCACGCAGTGATACTTTTGCTATCTCCATAAATCACGGTGTGAACAAAAAGTGTTGGGCCCCCTTCACACGTGACTAGAGAAATGTGTCTGGTGGATAAAAAAAAACCGCATGCATTCTTTTGACTTTTAAATCATTTGCCGGTTTTTAAGCCTATGAATTGTTTTGAAGAGGAGCTAACACAAATTGTGGAAATGTTAGGTGTGACAGACACAGCTGATTGTTCAGCAAATTAGAACAGGATGCTAAAGTCCTATACATATGGTAGTCTCAGGGACGACTGACATGAAACCTTACGCCCAAGAGGAAATAAAGGTTTAAGAGGTGTATTTAGATGAACGGCCTAAAGGACACAGATACTTGCTCACTCAGCACCTATGCTGTTGCTCCAGTACTTTTTTTTGTGATCACCCCATGAGGCCACCCACAACTTGGAAGAAGGTAGATTGGGAAGCCCATACTGTAAATTGGAGAGGACTAGATCTAGCAACACCAGAAACCCTAAACGATACAATGACCCTCCACAATCCGATCTTCTTACATCTGCCATATATAAAGTAGGTAGATGTTGAAGTATGAGAGATGGGCTTATTTGCTTTGGTGAGCTAAACATCACTCTTTAAAAATACACTAATACCACAAGTAATCTTAATTTCAGACTCATTGCTGTTTATGTCTACATTGGAGAGCTCTAACCTCACTATTTGTCCAGATGACTCCTCTTACCAAGACAGAAAAGTAGGAAAAATCCCAAATTTTATGGTCCATTTGGAGTGAATGAGAGAGCTGGGAGGAGGTGTGGGCTGTGCTCACTCCCCCCCCCCCCCTTTCAAGCTCCTACCTTCTGCCACTGCAGCTTTCCTGAAGTGGGACTGTCAGATCAGGACTTTGCAGAGTTTGTCTCCCGTCCACTATCCCCCCCCCCCCCCCCCAAAGCAAAGAATATGGGTAGCGGATGAGTAATCAAACCCTAGGAAGTCCCTGATCTGACAGCCAGTGGTTGCCGTCATCCCATACCCCTGCAGCAGTTGCGCTGGTCTGTATTTTTAAGGGAGGGACTCAGGGGCGCACTGACAACTCATGAGGCCCCTGGGCAATAGGGGATCATGGGGCCCCTGTGTCCTTTCCCAAACTCAAAAAAGCCTATGAAAAAGGTTCCCGGGGCAGCTCATGGGGCCCCCTACTGACCGCGGGCCCTCGGGCAGTGCCCGAGTTTCCTCCAAATGGTCAGTCCGCCCCTGGAGGGGCTAAATGCAGTGGGGACACAGCTGGGGAAGGGGGGGGGGGGCAGAGTAACAAATATCTGTGGCAGGGATGAGAGTATTTGTGCTAGGAGGAGGAGGGAGAAGAGGATTAGTGCTAGAAGAATATGAGCTAGGAGGGATGATTGGGGGGGGGGATATGTGCTGGAAGGGGGGAGGGGATTTGTGTAAGGAGGGAGGATTGGGAGGAAGGGGATTTGTGCTGGGAGGGGGAATTTGGGGGGTAGGATTTATTCTCGAAGGGTTTGTTTGGGGGTAGGGGAGAGGCAAGATGTGCTAGAAGGGATATTTGGGGGGATTTGTGCTAGAAGGGGAGATGGGGGGGAAAAGGATTTGTGCTAGAAAGGGTGATATGGGAGAGGTGGGGGATTTGTACTAGGAGGGAATTGTTTTGTTGGGTTGAAGAAGGGGGGGGGGGGTTTGTGATCGTTCATGATTTGGGGAGGATTTGTGCTAGTGGGGATGATTGGGGGCAATTTGGTTTAGGATGTTAGGAGGGGATTTGTGCAAGGGGGTGATTTTGGATAAAGAGGAGTTGTGCTTGGAGGAGAAATTTTAGGTATAGAGGATTTGTGCTAGGAGGTATAAATTTTAGGGGGGGGGGGGTTGTGCTTGTAAAGGGAGCTTGGGGAAGAAGAGGATTTGAGCTGAGAGGGGTGATGGAGAGGGCAAATATATTTATGCTGGGGGGGGATATTCTATGGGGAGTTGGAGAATTTTTGTTCGGAATTTATACTTAGGAGTTAAGCATGCGGATTAGTGCTCAATGCTTGTTCTGGGGGGGAGGGAATTTTTGCCGACATGGGAATGCTCATACATCTTGGGGCGCCCAGTTTGGCATCTTCGCCCTGGGAGATGACCTTGTCCCAGCACTGCCTCATGAAAAAGTGCGCAGATAAATGTTTAATTCTAAAGACTAAGAAGGACCCAGCAAGCATGGCTGGGGGTCTAGTTGTACCAGGGAACCCAGGACATTATGCACAAAGGTTATTATTTGGTTTCAGGAAGCAGGACAGGATCAGGTGGGAAAAGAAGGCAGCATCTTCACATAGTTTTACTGATCTTCCGAGTTCAAGCTTCGACCATACATGAGTCGAATTCCGAAATAATTTTCTTTCAAAAATCTTTTCTAAGAATTTTCTTTTGAATTTCGCACCAATTTTGCATAGTGGGTCACAGAAATGGCCAATTTTTGTACAACCATCGAATTTCAGTGATCGGGCATGTTGGAAATGTTTTTAAAAAGTAAATTTCGAATCAATGATGGGAGAATCGTGCGGGAAATATAAACGCAAAAGAAATGAGCATGAGCTGTGACCTGCAAAGAAA